ACGCCGGACTTAACCATTTGATTTCAAGTATCACTATATGAACTCCAAACAGTTTATGTATGTCGCTAATACCATACTAACGATATATTAACAAAAATGAATTTGATGTAAACTTTTTATTATTATTATTATTGTACCGTTACAACTTACAGTAATTCGTTGTCCATTAACATCCTCAAGACATGTAGTGTAGCGAACTTTGTGAACAAATTAATCACAAATTCCTTTTGTAATTTTGGTTTATTCCAAAAAGATATGATATTTTTTTGAATTTGTATAAATCATTTCCTCTAATTTTTCTTTTTTCCTTCCAAAAAAACCCATAATGTTATTTAACTGAATAAGATATTAGAATTTGTGCATATCATTTTTTTAAAATTATTCTTTTTTCTTTTGATGAATCCGTAGTTTGCTTTAAAAAACTGAATTTGTTATAAAACATTGAAAAATCCATTATATTATGTAACAAAATGCAGTTTAATTACATGAAAATAGTGCTATATTGCAATAATTAATATTGTACCATTAGTATTAACGTTTTGAACTAAATCATGACATGATACTACAGTTATCATTAATCGTAAGAGCATTAGTTATTATTTATAGGGAGTGTAACTTCTAATAGTGAATACTCCTCCGTTTTAATTTATGTGAATCTATTTCCTTTTTGGTCTGTTCTAAAAAGAATGACATCTTTTTAAATTTAGAAATAATTTTGCTTAAACTTATAACTCTACCCTTAATGAGAAGCTTTTATAACCACACAAATACTTTGAGGCCCTTTTTAACTTGTTTAGGACCACAAATTTTAAAAAAATTTATTTTTTCTTAAACTTCAAACTCAATAAAACAGGTTCACATAAATTGAAGCAGAGGGAGAAGTAGCAAAACATGGCAGGGTGGACCCTTCACTTGCACATGTGCACTGAATACGCAGGCTCATATAGGTAGTTGACTGGAGTTAAATTTTTGTGTGGCTTTCGTTCTTCCACGCATACCCATGACATCAGCAGCTTTTGTGGATTTTTAAAGTCCTAAAAAGTGGTAATATTTACGAAAACGTATTAGGACAAACGAAGGATAATATTGGAATGTATTGGTTTTCTAGTCAATGCACATTGACCAGAAGCTCCTCTCGATTCCTTCTTATTAATAGTAGTAAATATATATGGGACCTAAATAATAAAATAAAATAAATAAAAAGAAAAACAAATGTGATTGGAAGAAAGAGTGGCAATGGTAGGCGTGCAATTTGCATATGCAAATAGAAAGAGCCAAATCTTATTCTGAAAAGGGCAAATCTGATTTCGTAAAACCAAATTCGATTGATTATTTGGACGGCGAGGCTTGCTATGAATAGAAGTCTATGTTCTTTATTTTAAGTACACCAATACGAGAGAAACATTGTAGTTCGTGAGAGTGAGGTTTGCTACGGCAACGAATATTATTTTTTTTTGAAACTGTAGTAATCTCTTAATACTATTAAGTTGTAATATTATAGAGGTATTATACTGTTCTATTCGGGTATTATATTTTACCCGTTAGAAGATCTGGTATCGTTGTTACTTTTTTGTATTATTGTTATTTATTCCTGGGTGGGATGTTATTTTTCCCAACAATATATATATCTTGCAAAGACACGTGTAACTAAAAAGGAAGTTAAAGCTAATTATATTAAGTGCTAAGCTCATACACTTATAATTAAACGACCGTTTTACATAACTGGAAATGGCAATGGCGACAATCATCTCTGCATCAATTATTAGCAAACCATTTTTAATTTGGACATTACAGGTTCCAAAATCCTGCATTTCTAATGCTCAAGCTGCCCCTCTTAGACGATCTGGAAATTATCAGCCTTCTATTTGGGAGTATACTCAAATTCAATCATTGAAGAATCAATATTCAGTACGTATTATTATAAGCTGTATTAATTATTCTATATAATATCTTTATCTTCTTCTTCTTTTCCTCTCATGCGAAATGCTACTTAAATGTATGGAATATGTAGGGAGAGAAATTCATCAGACGACGCGATGAGCTGAAGATGGAAGTCAAGATTATGCTTAGTGATCGTAACATGAAGCCATTGGACCAGTTAGAGATTATCGATCTTTTGCAAAGACTTGGATTATCCTATAACTTTGAGGATGAAATATACAGCATTCTGAATTACGTATGTGACAAAAGTAGCAAAAGCAACGGAGATTTGTATGCTAAAGCCCTTTCACTTAGGCTCTTGAGACAACACGGATTTAACGTTTCACAAGGTGCTATACATCGCTTTTTTCCTTTATGCATTTTGTAGTCGAAACTCACTTATCTGTCTAATCCGGATTCACGTATGGGCAGAAGCGGTGTCATCCGACACTGTTTTGCCGGAAAAAAATATTAAATATTTTACTAATATTCTGCAAAAATGAAGTATATATAGTAATGACATGGCTTCCTGAAAGTACTTCCTAATCCTCTGGTCAAGCTTGTATTTGTACTTGTAAAGGTCGTATGTTCAAATCTGGACCTAGACACTTTATTTTTTTGAAGATGTTTGAGCTAGAATTTTGTAAAAAAATTGAGACTATGGAGAATTAAACATACATATCCTTTGCAATAATATTCAACTAAACCATTGGGGCAAGGCTTTCAACTTGTGAAAAAATAATATTAAATAATACTACTTTTTATTTACTTATATAAATATGGCACCGCTAACAAAAAGGGCGCTTTATGCATCTGATATTTCAGACCCAATGGGTCGCTAATTTTCATTCATGCCACGTATGGATGCTAAAAGGAGATAGGAGTTTCTCCATTCTTGAGGATCGAATCATATAATACTATACAATATATGGTTTTTGGTTGCAGAAATATTTGATGGTCTTAGTGAAACTCACACTGAGGATACGAAGGGGATGCAATATTTGTATGAAGCTTCTTTTCTTGCAACAGAAGGTGAGAGTGAATTGGAGCAAGCAAGAAATTGGAGTGAAAAACAACTAAGAGAATATTTGGAAAATAAAAATATTGACCAAAATGTGGCTGAATTAGTGCACCATGCTTTGGAACTTCCATTGCATTGGAAGATGTTGAGATTAGAGGCAAGGTGGTTCATCAATTTTTACAAGAAAAGACAAGACATGATTCCTTTATTGCTTGAGCTGGCTATCCTTGACTTCAACGTTGTTCAAGCAGCTCATATTGAAGACCTAAAATATGTGGCAAGGTAATAACTTCACTGGAAATTAAACGGGACTTTGCCTTTTCATTGTCATGTTTAAATTCTAATTCATTACATATGAAAAATAGGTGGTGGAAAGAAACAGGCTTAGCAGAGAATCTGCCATTTGCTAGGGATAGATTAGTGGAGAATTTCTTTTGGACAATCGGAGTAAATTTCCTTCCTAAATATGGATACTTCAGAAGAATTGCCACAAAGGTAAATGCTTTAGTAACCACAATAGACGATGTATATGATGTTTTTGGTACTTTGGATGAACTACAATGCTTCACTGATGCCATTCAAAGGTAATTAATACCTCGTACGTACTTCTAATTAATGTTAAAATTTGTTTAAACATTATTAATTTCTAGCTAATTTTTATAGCTTGTAATAAAAAATTTAGATGGAATATCGACGAGTTGGATAACCTCCCAGACAATATGAAGTTGTGTTATTTTACACTTGACAACTTTATTAATGAAGTGGCTTGTGATGCTTTTGAAGAGCAACGCATTCTCATTGTACCCTATCTAAGAAATGCGGTAATTTGTTCTTTTATCTTTCTGAAATGTTTCCCTTTCTTGATATGTATTAGTACCTTATGAGTCAATGTTAAGAATACTACGCCATGGTATTAATTTACAGTGGAGAGATTTGTGCAAATCCTACTTAAGAGAAGCAAAGTGGTACTTTAGCCAGTATATCCCAACCATGGAAGAATACATGGACAATGCCTGGATTTCGATATCAGCTCCAGTAATATTAGTACATGCCTATTTCCTCATTGCTAACCCTGTAAACAAGGAGGATTTGCATTACTTAAAGAATTACCATGACATAATTCGTTGGTCAGCCTTGATTTTGCGGCTCGCGAATGATTTAGGAACATCATCGGTACGTAAAACTCTCCTTTAATTTTTGAATGTATAACATAAAATAAGTTTTACACTATCAATGTAAGTTTGATCTGTTATAGAAGGTTATCTGCCTTATTTTTCAGATTAGCAATTCACTTATTAAGTACAGTTGCCTGCTGTTTTATATAGATGGCGACGATTTACCAACAGTGCTTTTTCTATTGCTTAATGTAGGAAGAGTTGAAAAGGGGTGATGTACCCAAATCAATACAATGTTACATGAACGAAAAAAAAGTTTCTGAAGAAGATGCTCGACAACATATTAGGCTTTTGATTAGTGAGACGTGGAAGAAATTGAACGAAGCTCATAATGTAGCAGCACACCCCTTCCCTAAGATGTTTATTTGGAGTGCTATGAACCTAGCAAGAATGGCACAATGCATGTATCAACATGGTGATGGACATGGCGGCCATAATTCTGAGACAAAAAATCACATCATGGCATTGCTCTTTGAATCTATTCCTCCAGCTTGAAGTCCTTTTCGTTGACAGCAAAAACGAGACTCACCTATGGTTAACTACGATATAATCCAGGAGATCTACATTTAGTGAGTTCAAATGCATGTTACACGATGCATTGCTAAAAAGAAAATTACAAATAACTAGTAATATGGCATTTTTTACTTCAACAATTTCCCATCATCGTACCTGTATATGATTGAGCAGTTGATATGCATGTTAAGCTATACGTCAAATACAGTGCCAAATTTTGGAATCTGATAGCCTTACTTGGTTCTTTATAAGTATCGACTCGAAGAAAAAAGTTACTTGGCTCATCTATTACCTAACGTCGTATTGGACTTTGCCCAGAAACGAAATAACAGCTCACCAACAAAAAACTTTTTCTAATATTTGAGTCATGGTAAATGAAGATGTTTTCCACTATCCCGAGTGCTGTATATCATACGAAACATATCTCTGTTGAAAGAGTTCAAATGCCAATATTCATACAACGATAACGTCCATATCAACAAATTGAATTTGGAAGCTGTTTCTCCAATGAGAATTGGTAAGTACGAATTGATACAGGACTTAGGGCCATATGCTTGACTGCTAATGCAACAGAAGTTCCAACAATTACCTTTCTATTTATGCGGGGACTGCTAAATCATCATTGTGTGTCGCTTTTAGATGAACCTGGTTCTTTTGAGAATTTGCGCCATCGTTCTTTGTTCTTTTCCACTGAAGCAGAATTCTGAACAAACTCGGAAAGTCCTTGCCTGAAAGCCCCTATATTTACCCCTTTGCCCACCAATATGCTTGTGACACCCATTTTTGAAACCTGAAAAAGACTTCTTTAGCGTACTACTTTGATTTAGACTAACAAGTGATGTTGTTATTTGAATCAACTGAAATGCATGATACAGTTAGCAAAGAGTGATTATACCGCCTGTATGTTCCGATTTTCATCATCAAAAAACAGCATCTCATTATAGGGCACCGCCGTCTTTCGGTTGATTTTCTGAAAGTGCTCTGTCTTATGTGTCCAACTGGAGAATATCTCCTGTAGCATTAAGTAATCAACATGATGACCTCACAGTAAGCAGCATCAGATAAAAAATGAATATAGGCCTAGTCATGAAAATGAGCATTTTAGAGTCCACTTACGAGGAGTGATGCAAATCTTAGATTATTATGCATTCACAAAACACAGTTAACTGATCATCTTTCTGCCGACACTCCCACGACTACCACCCCACAGAGGAAAAAGGGGAGCCAATGTAAAGTGAAGAATAGGAACTTCAATGTCCAACTGAATGTCAAATGGTTAATGTAACAAAAAAAGAAATTTCAGCTGATGTTTAGAAAGTGAGAACAAATGAAGGTTCTGACCTTTACTGATAAGAAATGAACTCTCTGAGCTTTTAGGAAGTAGACAGACTCGTGCAGTTTTGTAAATTTAAGCTTAATTCATGAAGAAGATGCATAAGAAAATACTAAATTACAAAAGTGAACTACAATAAAAATACTTTACTGAAAATGAAAAACAACCAAAAAAGGAGTTTAACTACCATATTTTTGGAGTACCTCGGGTAAAGTTAAATATTTAAGCTCTCCTAGCCCCAAAAGCGAGGATAACTAAATTCAAATAAGATACAAATACATTCCTAACCCTACATAGGAGGTGCTTAGAAGACCGACCAAACCACCAAGATCAGCCAAATCTGATGATGCCTTCTGAGTCTAGTTTGGCTTAGAAAGTATTAAACTGTAGTAACCAGCAAAATAAGTATTTTATATACATTTTTGGCAAAATCTAAAAAGTAAAATCGGGGACAAAATGTTGCTGCGTTGAAAGCTTTCTGAAATTGGAACAATAAACTGTATTTTGAAATATATAAAAATGAAAACACCAATCTATACACTAGCTAACAAAAACCTCAGAATGTAACTGCAACAGTTTGTTAAGGTTACGAGGGGCTTTTTAAACCATCATTCATTTTTATTAGAATTTAAACTCTTCATAGCTCATAGAATATGGATAACATAATTATGGACCTATTATTTTCTCTGTCTTTCTCTCTTCCAACCTACTATCCCACTCCTCGACCATGTAAAGAGGGGTTGCGAGGAAGTCTACTACAAAACAAGGAGGCAGATGAACCAAATTGACAGCAGTAATAGATATTGTCAATAAAAGTTGCAGGTTATCATAGCATTATAGAAAAACGATGAAAAGAGATGCTGAGATTTCCACCATCTCACCTGAGCAACAAACATTGATTTTATCCCCAATTTTTGAAGGAAAGAGTTTGCTATGTCTGGAGTGGGTGATCTTGAGGCAATAGCAACATTAACTCCCTTGTCCTTGAGGGCATGTAAGATACCTTTGGCCTGAGGATACATAGATGGTTTTTCATTTTTGGAGCGGCATTCACTGAAATACAAAGCAGACACAAAAATGGTATTACGAGTACTGCAAGACCAAGTTTAAGCAAAATACCAAGCTCTTTCTTTCTTTTGGAAAGATAATGAGATATAGAAAGAGTGGCACAAAGTGAAAGGCCTTGGAGTAGCCATAACTAAATGAAAGGCCTCGGAACAAGAAATAAAATTCATACATCCTTGGCTTTAGAAAATTATGACATAGTATGCGTGTTCCTTAAAGTGGAGAGCGAAAACTAGGACATTGATGGGATCAAACCTTGTTGTATGTTAAAGAAAGAAAAGAAGACAAAACAAAAGTTGAAAAGTTAAATAAAGAAAAGAAGCAATCAGAGAAAGAGAGAAGAAAAAAGACATGAAATAGACAGAATTAAAGGAACAGTGAGAGAGAAAAGGACCGCAAATGTGAAAGAAGAATTCGGCGCGCAGTTTGCGGTGCCGTCCTCTTCGTTTTCACATTCGCTGAAATTTTTGCCTATAAATAGGCATTACTTTCCTCAATTGTAAAACCAACCCTCAACTTCTTCTTTCTATTCAATTAATAAAGAATTATTCTTTGCGTGGTCGTCGAGTAGGCAAAAATTGCTGAACCACGTAAATATTGTCTTGTCTTGTCTTGTGCAATTTATTAATTTTCTCTTTAAATATATTTTTCCCCTTCTATTAGCTTGGCACGCTTCCCAACAACTGGTATCAGAGCACAGACAGTGTGATTCTGGTAGAAAAGTATGGTATTGGTGCAGTGTACTATTCACAAGAATAGTGCGACACTATTGCTCATTAATAATAACACTATTCACAATAGTGAAATACTATTCATTAACAGTGATAGTACTATTCACCAGGGGTGTACATGGGTCGGGTTGGTTCGGATTTTCTAATTACCAAACTAAACCAATTATATCGGGTTATTAAATCTAAAGACCAAACCAAACCAATAAAAGTCGGATTTTTAAATCTCGGGTTTTCGAGTTGTTTCAGGTTTTTTTTCATAAAGTTTTCATAGCACAAAACATAGAATTTGTGCTCCAAATATTCCTTTAATCCTAGTAAGACAGAACTATAAAAGGTATTTTTAAATAAAATAACATAAATGTGAGATGATTCATGGCATTGTACTAAAATATTCAACAATAAAGTTGAGAAAATCACGTAAAATAAATATTATTAATAAGCCATAATGAAAACAAACATAATTTAAAATTACTAATAAGTTGCTAAAATAAGTACGACTAATAAGTACGACTAACAAGTACTATTATTTACATGACTAAACACTAAAAGAAAAATAAGTTATGCATTTTATCTAAACCATGGAAAAACTAAAAAATAGATATCCAACACTATTTTCATTCATAGTACAATTGAATTGAATGTCTTTTATTATCATTAATATTGATTTGATTTTGGTTTAGGATTTATTTGAGTTACTAACATTTATGGACTATAAAACTTATTGGAGCATCCTAAAATTATAAGTTCAAGCTTGAAATAATACGTTATAAGATAAAACTATGAAAAAGCTTAAGAAATATTTATAAACTACACTACAATAAATATTTTCATGTATTAAATATATTTAAAACTTCTATACATATAATGTCGGGTTGGGACATTTTTCCTACACAGAGTATCGTCGGATTTTTTTTTCCAACACCAAACAATCAAACCAAACCATAGTCGGATTTTTTTTCTCGGATTATCGGGTTGGTGCGGCTTGTCGGTTTTATTTGTACAGCCCTACGGTTCACCAATAGTGATTGTTGTCTACCTTATACGGTGGGGACATTTTTACTACACAGAGTATTACTAATTTTTGACCACACCCCAAATTCTATACTACTTTAGTGTAAATATTTCTTTTAGGTCTAATCTTAATATTTTAAACTTTTATCTTAATAGGTTTTATTGTAAAAAAAAAATAAAAAAAATACAAAAATAGTCACATTCTTGGAGTATAAATTTTATATCTAAAAGAAAATCAAATATATATATATATATATATTGTTAGTCTAGAGTTAGTTAATTAATATATTGTTGTCTTAATATTTAATTGAATTCTACTTATAAAAGAAAAAATAAAGAAGAAGAAGCAAGTATTCACGTGATTTTAGAAGTTTGGTAACAAAATTTAACTTCAAAAGAGATTTAACTTATCCATGACTCTAGCACATCTCACTCTAACCTCTTCCCTCTATTACCCCATGATCACACACCCATAACATCACATACACACACGATCTCACCCTCATATATCTGAATGCATAATCCCATTTCATACATAAAAGGACACAAAAGAGAGGGGACGAAAGAAAAGGAGGAGAAAATTTTGAACAGGAGAAAAGAGATGAGCATTAGAGGCAATCAGATAGAGAAAAAAATCAGTAACTAAAAATAGCATTGTTCTTTTACAGTGAAAATCACTTGGAGATAAATTATTCGGTGGACTTATTTGGTTCACAGTCGAAAATCAAAGTATTTTTCGTGGTTTTAAATTCGCGGGTTCAACTCAGCAGATTGTAGATATTTTCTTTGTTGTGAAATCTTACAAAAGGTAACACTCAATCTCATTTGTTAGTTTAATATTAATGTATGATGTTAGTTTATTTAAATTCAATTATTCTTTTGCTTTCTTTTGTATTTTAAATATCGTCGGGTTCTTCTTGTTATTTATATATGTACATGTATGTTTAAAATTAATCTGAAATGTGTTTCTAACTTTTACTAATCTGAAATCTGTTCCTAACTTTTAATCTTTAGTTCTAATCTATTCTTTTGCCACAATTCACGTGAAATTTTAAACCATAGATAGTTCATAAAATTTGTTTAAAGCTTTTGTCAACAAAATACTTCTTTGGTTAAATTCTATTTAATGTGTGAGTTTATTAATTACTTTTGGTTTTGGTTATCAACGTTCTGGTGCAAATCCTTACAAATATGTTAGGTACTTATTCTTTATTTGGGATTAAAACTTACTCTCTTTTAGTTATGTTTTTTTTCTTTTTCCTCGAACTAGTATTCTGCTAACTAGTATTCTGTATAAATGAGTTTAGTGATAAATTTGGTGTAAGTTAGTTTACTTACTTTAAATCGTTTTTATTTTTTCAAAATTTGTTCATATAATATTATCGTAGTGCAGATTACATGGATTTGGTTAGAGTCCCATTAGTTAAAAAGAATAAAGTTAATTTAAAGTTAGATTTTGTTTTTAACTGAGTTTCAACGTAAACATCTTTCCGATTCATTTTTTTTTTGTGGGGGTAGTTAAATAAATAACGTAACTCAAGTTCTGTCTAAACATATTTGAAGGTTTAAGTTGAAATAGTCTAATAACACTTAAGTTTTAATTGATGTTAAGATTGTTAGTTTAGGGAGAAGAGAATGTGTTTAAGCTAATATCTTATGGACTAACACTGATAAGTTCATTAACCAAGATTTATTGAAAATATTCTCTCTTGGAAATCGTGCAATTTTGAAAAAATTTCCGATTACTTTTTCAAGCCGACCTTCTGATGGAAAAGAAAATTTTTTTCTGGCAAGGGAGAAATCCTTCGAATTAGCAGACATCGGAGACGGTCTAACTCGCTGGTTCATCCTAATCGAGCGAGGACCTCGTTTCACTAGCAGGTTGAAGATAGATGATGAAAACCTCAGATGGGTTTGTGAAGCCCTCAAATCAGCAACGAGGAGTAAAGGAAACAGATGCAAGAGATGGGGAAGGAAAATACAATCGTATGTGTACAGAGTGTACAAGAACTTCAACATCTATGGTCGCTTTGTGCGAATCGAGTCTTGGTTGGGAGATAAAAAAATCAGCAGTGATTATCCCGGAGTCAGATTATAACTGGGGTTGGGGAGATGCGGCGGAGAAAATACTCAGGTTTCTGGGTAAACCACACAACCCAGTTTTAAACCGATTTGTAAGCATTGATAGATCCTATGCTGTTGCAGCTGATAGCAACAAATGGCCAGAGCCAGCACAGCGTTCGAAAGAGGAAGATAATACTGTCAGAGGTGAAAAACTCCAGTTCCTTTCTAGCTGTTTGGTCGGAACATTCAATGAACCCTTCAATTCGAGCCCAAGATGTGAAGTCATTCAACCCTGGTTCATTCGTAGATGGGGAATTCCAGTAGGACTCAAAGTTACACCACTCACCCACAATCAGTTCCTCTTTGAGCTCCCTTCTAGGCAGGAGGCGGAGAGAGTCAAAACAGGTGATTGGTTTTGGAATAGAAGGAGATTGTCTCTTAAATGGTGGTCACCAATGGTAGATTCTAGACCCAATATACAGCAGCCAGAGCAACAATGGATTAGGGTTTTTGGCATTCCCTTACATGCATGGTCAGAAAACACCTTCAAATCCATTGGTGATAGGTGTGGGGGGTATATTGGTGCCGATGAAGATACCAAGAAAAGAACTCATTTTTTCTGGGCTCGAATCTGCGTAAAGATCTCAGAATTTGCAATACCTGGGAAGTTTGAGTTGAAGGTTGAAGATGGGATCTTTGAAATCGCCATTATCAATGACGGCCATACCAGTCCAGCAATCGCCGAAAAAGAAACAGTGGTACAGGTTATTGACCAGGTGTCTGTTCCAAAACCCACGCCTGCATTGAGTCCCACAAAAATAGTAGTTGACCAATCTACTACTAGGCACGTGCCTCAGCACGTGGGGCCCCTGGAAAGCATCTTAAAATCACAGCCAGGTCCCTCTAACACTAAACCACTTCATAAGTCACATTTTGTGTATCGGGCTTATTATAAAAAGGGCCCAATAAGGAGAAAGGCTAAAAAACAGGGCAAGGAGAAAAAGAAAATGGAGTGGAGAAAGACTGGGCCGGCCCAATCTTTATGTTTTAGCCCTACTCTTTCCTGTCATATGGCCAGCTCACCACAGGCCTCCTCTATCCAGACAGAGATGGAGCAAACCCTAGAGCTCATCACTGGAGCATCCGAGGAAACTTCTCACGAGGCAGACGATGAAGCAGACCAGTCACAATGCATGTCAATATCATCGCTCTCACGTTTGAAGCTGACATCTACTCTGGTTAGTGTTTCTGAGTCTGACCTCTCCTCTTGCAGTCAGTTTTGGCCACTTCCCTGGTACGAGGGTAGCTCTCAGAACAACCACTCTATTGCTGATCCTTTTGTAATTGAGACAACACAGTGGACAAAAATTGTCATGCCCAAGGCTTGCAAAGCTTTTGGTATTAATGTCTCGGGTTTTGAACATGAAATCCTTGACATGATATTGAGGATGGAACAAAAGGGGAGGGATCAACTTCAGCTTCATAAAACCAAGGCAAGGGCAAATAAAAAATCGAAAAAGAAAGGGGAAATTGAGGTAAACAACCTTAGGAGTATGATTAATTATGAAAGAGGGAGCTGCAGTTCAGGGGAAAGGCTTATGAGGGGTAGGAAACAAAAAGCTCTTTCAGAATGAGAGTTAAAATTATCAGCTGGAATATGTGGGGGTTACATGATAGTGGTAAAAGAAACACTATTAAATCTATGGTGCAAAAGTGGAAGCCAAACATTTTGTGTATACAAGAAACAAAATTGGAAGACTGTTCAATTGCGATAGCAAGGAGCATCTGGGGTTCAAGATGGGTAGACTGGGCAGAACTCAAGGCAAATGGTTCTAGTGGGGGAATAACTATCTTTTGGGACAGGAGATAATGGACTTGTACTGATGTTCAACATGGTTTCTATTCTTTATCCACAATGCTTGAAGGGGTCCAGATGGATCTTAGGTGGTGCTTCACTGGAGTCTATGGGCCTCACTCTAATCGGGAAAGATTAGATTTTTGGGAGGAATTGTCTGCCATAAGGGGCTTATGGAGTGAACATTGGGTGATAGACGGAGATTTCAATATATGTAGATTTGAACATGAAAGGTTCAACTGCATAAGAAGATCCAGAACTATGAGAAATTTTTCTGACTTCATCCAAGATATGGAATTGATTGATCTCCCACTCCAGGGAGCCAAATATACCTGGTTTAGGGGAGAAGACTTTGCTCAAGCATCTAGGATTGATAGATTCTTCATCTCAAACGAATAGAATGACACCTTTGGCTCTGTGAAGCAATTAGCTCTCCCAAAGGTTATATCAGATCACAGGCCAGTTGTGCTGGAAAGTGACTGATCAACAAATCCTTCCTATTTCAAATTTGAAAATATGTGGCTACAGCACGAGGGTTTCAGGGAAAAAATTGTATAATGGTGGCAGAGTTACATGGTTAATGGCACCCCTAACTTTATCCTTTTTCAAAAGCTGAAACATTTGAAGAAAGACATATCCATATGGAACAAAGAAGTATTTGACAAAATAAAAACAAGGAAAGCCAGAGCTTTGGAGGAACTAATGCTACTGGAGCAACTAACTGAAGGTAGGATCTTGTGCTAAGCTGAAAAAACAACAATGCTGAACTTAAAGATTGAACTACAGCAGCTCGCAAAGACAGAGGAGATTTCATGGAGACAAAAATCCAGGTGCTTGTGGCTTAAGAAGGGGATAGGAACACAAAATTCTTCCAAAGAGCTGCTAACTCCCATAGAAGATACAACTGCATAGGCATGCTAAAGGTGGACGATGAAATTATTGAGGACAAAGATCTTATCAAAGGTGAAATACTCGAGTACTACCAGAATCTATACTCTGAGGATGAGGATTGGAGACCTATAGCACATTTTGAGGGTCTAGAGCGCCTAACTCCTGAAGAAAGGGTGGGTCTGGAAAATGCATTTTCAGAAGAAGTGAGAGATGCGATAAACATTTGTGCTCCTGACAAGAGCCCTGGTCCAGATGGCTTCATAATGGCCTTCTATCAGAAATCATGAGATACCATCAAGCATGATTTACTTACCGCCATTAACGACTTCCATCAAAACTGCCACATGGTTAAGTCTTTCAACGCATCATTTATTGCACTGATCCCTAAAAGAAAAAGAGCTATAGAGCTAAGAGATTATAGACCTATAAGTCTCGTAGGCAGCATTTACAAGATTGTAGCTAAAGTGCTAGCTGAAAGACTCAAAGGGGTGATAGAGAAGCTTGTTTCTGGTCATCAAAATGCTTTTATCAAGGGGAGGCAAATAACTGATGTTGCTCTTATAGCAAATGAAGTTTTGGACTGGAAATGAGAATTGGGGAAGCTGGACTTTTGCTCAAGTTGGATGTTGAAAAAACTTTTGACAAATTGGGTTGGTCTTATCTATTCTCAATTCTTAGACAAATGGGATTCGGAGAGAAATGGATCAAGTGGATTAGATACTGCATCACCACAGTCAAGTACTCCATTCTTGTTAATAGAAGCCCAGTGGGATTCTTCTCTCCAAAGAGAGGGATTAGACAGGGGAACCCTCTTTCACCCTTCCTTTTTATATTGGCTATGGAGGGACTCAGTAAAATGCTTGAAAAAGCTAAACAACTACAATGGTTAGAAGGATTCTCAGTGGGTAACAACAGGAGCTCTCCTATTTCTGTGTCACACCTTCTGTTTGCAGATGATACACTCATCTTCTGTGGAGCATATAAGTCTCAAGTCCTCTACCTAAACATATGAAACAGACAACGAATTAAAGGAACAATGAGAGAGAAAAGGACTGCAAATGTGAAAGAAGAATTCGGCGCGCAGTTTGCGGTGTCGTCCTCTTCGTATTCACATTCGCTGGAATTATTTGCGGCAGACGTTCGCCTATAAATAGGCATTCCTTTCCTCAATTGTAAAACCATCCCTCAACTTATTCTTTCTTTTCAATTAATAAAGAGTTATTCTTTGTGTAGTCGTGGAATAGGTAAAAATTGTCGAACCACGTAAATCTTGTCTTGTCTTGTGCGATTTATTAATTTTCTCTTTAAAGATATTTTTCCTCTTCTATTAGCCTAAAACGCTTCCCAACTGACATAACCATTACTCATTATTATCTCGACCAAAATTCTGTTCTTACAAATAAAAGCCATACCCCCCTCCCTTCTCCCTCTTCTCTCTTCTCACGTTTGAAGTTAATTGCCTATTTCCCAATACTGCAACCACGCAAAGAACAAGAAATCAACTATATCCCAATCCCAAACTAGTTGAGATCGGCTATATTTGAATCAAGTTTATCCAATTAAGCTCTAATTAGGCCCAAAAGCATATAGAGAACACAGGATAAAAAATAAAAGAAAAGAAGCTAAAGTAGTTCCAAGAGTGCAACAGGCAGGGCAAATCAATCTCTAAAAATGAAATGAACTATCAAAACTACGCATCCGGTAAATCCAGCAAGATCAACAAATTGAAAAGAAGAAAAAAACTGATAAAAAAAGAGAGAATAGATAATAAATCAACGATAACAGGATTAAAGAAAGATAGAAATTGGGTGGGTACCAATAAAAGGGCCAGAGAGTATAATCGAGATCAAAGACGACGAGACGAGGGAGTACTTGGAACATTCCCATTATCTCCATTGCCTCATTCTTCACCTTTTCGTCTCCCATCTCTCCCGCCTCCACGCTTTCCGTGCCGCCAACACCCTCTTTTATCTACCACTACGAGTAAGTCTCTACCAATAAGTATTAAGTGTATTTTTTGTATTTTGATTATTTAGAAAAAGTACAATATAAACGACATAGTCTTCTTATTATTGCGTTTTAAAAAAAATAACATATTTCTACAATTGAAAATAATTCAATATTACTTTTCGTTTTACTCATTTTATATTTCACGAAAAAATTTTATAACCATACAAATATTATGGTCCCGCAAAGCATTTACCCCCTTAAGCTTTTCAAAAATCTTCTTTTTTTCCTTAACTTCGTGCCAAATCAAGTTATCTCATCTAAATTGAAAACGGGAAGTATGAAAAAAGAAGAATATTTTAAACAAGTAGGGTGTACATAGGTCGGGTTGGTTCGGATTTTTCAATTATTAAACCAAACCAATGGTGTCGGATTTTTAAATTTATAAATCAAACCAAACCAAACCAACAAAGTCGGCCTTTTCAATCTCGGTTTTTCTCAGATTTTTTTTGGGGTTTTCGAGTTTTTCCCCGGTAAAGTATTCATAGCATAAAATATGTAACTTGTGCTCTAAATATTTCTCAAGTCCTAGTAAAATACAACTATATAATGTGTTTTCCAAGAAACTAACACAATAATATGAGATAAGTCATAGCATTATACTAAAATATTCAATAACAAAGATAAAATAATAAAATTACATAAAATAAACATTTTTAATTAATAACCCATAATGAAAATTAACACAATTTAAAAATACTATATAGGTCATGCTAAAATAAGTATAGCTAATAAGTACTAATATTAATTACATAACTAAGCACTAAAGAAAAAGATAAATTAAGTTATGCATTTTCATTATAAACCAATCTAAACCTAAAATAATTATCAAACACTATCGTCATTCCTAGTATTGAATTGAATTTCTTTTGTTAGTATTAGTATTGATTTGAACTTTGATTGAGTTACTACAATTATGGGCTATAAAATTTATTTACCATTCAAGAATGTTAAGTCTAAACTTGAAATAATACGTTAAAAGATAAAATTGTGAAAACGTTTAAGAAATATTTATAAATTACATTACAATAATATAAAATATTTTTAAAAATTATATAAATGTACTATCAGGTTGGTTTGGCTTCGGTTTGACTTTTTTTAGTTAAAACCAAACCAAATTAATTATGGTCGGGCTTTATTTTATAATACCAAACCAAATCAAACCAAACTACATCGGTTTTTTTCTATTTGACTCGGATTATCAGTTTGGTGGCGGTTTATCGATTTTCTTTGTACACCCCTATAAACAAGTACGAGTATTAGTCGTGACTCATGAATTGTTGATTTAAAACATATTATTCTAGTTAATGGAATAAATGTGAGTGACAGTGAGATACGTTTCTTATATATGATAACCGATTATTAAGCTAGTGCTTGGATATAGATTTGACTGAAACTTGAAAAAAAAGTTAGTGTTGGAAAATAATTTTTAAAAGTTGAAGTTGTGTTTGGACATGCAATTTATTTGAAATAAAATTGAAGTTTTGTGAGTGGACCAGTTTTTGGGGAACTTGAAAATTTTTAAAGTTTTTTTTTCCCAAACATGATTATATTTTATAAACAAATAATATTTTCAAAAAAAAATTTAAAAGTGAAGCCAAAATTTATGGCCAAACGGTAGGTAATACTTTACGAATCTACTTTTATTTTGAGAAAAAAGGAATCTAACTGGCGGAACAATACGAGACTCTAGCATATCTTTATCTGATCATGGATTTCATAATTCTTTGAATAAAACTTAAAATATATAAAACACAAGTTTTGAAGTAAAAAATATTTAAAAAAGAACTACAAAAGACATGAAATTGTCCGACTCCCTAAAGTGAACAGCTGAGTAGAAAATAGAAATTCAGGTAGCAAGTCAAACATCATTAAAAAAACTCTCTTGTAAAGGCTACTGAATAAATAGTTAATTTGTCGTGCTCTAACACTAAAACATTATGTCCAAATTCTAAAACTAACAAGGAATAGACAACCATCTGGTCTATAACAATAATTGCCATTAGGAAGGTGGTCTATATAACTGTACAGATCTGCAATGCATAGATCAGTGAAAATTTTCAATCTCAAGACTCAAATAGGTAACAAAGCATGTAAAACAGACGCAACATAAAATTTCTTGATTTCAGCTTTCCTTTCCAAGTTTTCTCCTCAACTTCGAATGCTGGGTATGATGTTGCCATAATCTCAGCTCCATGTTATCAGGCCCTTTCTTGTATCAACAATGCTTCAAGCTCTTCTCTTCGACGCTCCAAATCCTAGGGATTGTGATTATTAATATGATTTCAGGAATGGCGAAAAGGAAATAAACAGCTGAGCCAATGTCACCACTAGGCTAATAGGAGTAGATTGTATTAGGTACAGGTTCGGACGCCAGTATCTTTTGCTTACATCATGTACTTGTATTGGGAAATTCATTAGATATGCATTAATATTTAATTGCGAACCCAGTAACTAAGATAAGTTATGGATTCAGTGGCATGTTTAGAACCCATAAACTTCAAATCCTAGCTTCGCCTCTACTCAAGAAACGTTATAGTTACTACTTACTAGTGATATCACGCATTAGGCGACGTTTGAAAATATGGCTGCAATTATATACCATTTTGATCTTTTGCTACAGAAAATCTCTGAACCAAATCCACTTTCATTCAGTTGTAAGCTTAATCTAGATATGGTTACAACAAGAAGCTTCATAACTAATATGACTCTCTTCCCCATCTTTTCTCTATTAATGTTGTCTCTAAACGAGAACTGTTATGTTGTACTAGAATCTGCATTGTAATTTGTTTTTACTAAAGTAGGTGATGCAGAGTGATTGATCCTAGGGTTTTAAGGGCTGAATATTTTGGAGGGTTGGATTATTAAGATGAGTGGCAGCAGCAAAAAAACAGAGAACCAGAGAAGACGAAAATAAGAACAAATTTAGAGAGCACGACCCATGCAAGGCCTGGAGAAGGATCAGATATCTGACTCTCCCTCTGGTGTTCGGCTCAAGGTATGCTCCTAAACTGACAAGAGGGTTAAATACATGACATCATGGATTACCTGCAGATCCTTTATGGCTTGCTCCCTGGAGACTTCTTTCGCCTGGCGAGCACGTTTGATAAAGCCAAAGCACAGAATTCCCTAAAAGTAACATAAGTCAAGAAAAAACATAAGTAAAAGTCTAATGCATCATATGCAACCCCAAAAGGACTCAACAAGATGGACTCTAATAGCAGGTACGCAGCCAGAAGCAAGCCCACATGCTTAAATATGATATAACTGAAGTTAAAATTAATGCTACAGAACGCATATGCTCAAACAATAGGCTGTAATCTTTAACAGCACAATATATAAACACACTTAAGATTTACTTTGACATGCAAACAAATGCTTAAGACCACTTGAAGAATATTAGTTAGCATAGCTTCCGATAGCCTAACAAGTGCTCACTGCTTGCATTCTTGTAAGGAATTCTCCTGTCTGAATCTAAAGACTGAAAGACAGGTGAGTAGGGATCAAAGAAGAAAGGCTGGACACATCATACTCTTGAGGTATTGTGTCATATCAACTACAAGCTACAACAGTATGTACCAGGTGACAAGTCATTGCAATGTAGCAGCCTGATATTCTGTGAACTTACTGATATAATGTAAATGGCACCACAGGTGAGAAGCAAGTAGCTAGCTATGTTCTGGAGAAGAATGAGATCATTCCTTAGCCCATAATCTTCAGGGTAAGCTCTGGTCATAACGGCAACACTAGAACAAACCCAAAAAGAGGAGAATGTGAGATGCCCCCCAAAAAAACAACTATTATGTTAAGTCTGATTTCAACAATTTCAGCAGGCCAAAAGTCTTACTTACAAGATCTGTAGCATGCCCCTTCCAGCTGAAAACTCCAACACCTACATGAGGTCATTGAAAGTTCATATCAGTACTATATGTGTTTTTATTTATTGTGAAAGGTATCGGGTCAAAATGTGCAAGCAACTGGAGAGCATATTATAAAAACAAAGTCACTGCATACCACATAGAAAGCATATAATTATTAGAATTTTGCAACTAAGAATATATGGAACCTTCCAGTTGTGCTATGAGAAGTAAAACTGCTGGATTAAAATAATCAAGTGACATCTGGATTTATTAACTTTATTGTAAGACTATAATGATGCCATAATACAAGATTACAAGTGACTAAATGCTTAACTGTGATGGAATAAGGCTAAGAGTGAGTTTGAGCATTAAAAGGACAGAAATTGAAAGGGGGAAAGAATACCTCTTTTGCTACAGCAAGACAAACAATTGCATCTAAAGTAACTGCTAATTGCTGGTCAACCAAGGATATTTTGGTCATGGTTAGTACATCCTAGTACTGCTTATTTTTCAGGCCATGTTTCTCCTAAATATTAATACTGTTCATATATCTATCTAAATGAACGATAGGATTGCATTTCCAACATTATATAGCCCAAAAGGCCAAAACTGCATTCATCTTTAAACTTCCCAATCTCTAAAAAATATGTCGCTTTACAACTCTTAGCTACTTTTTTTGTGCTAGATAAACTACAAATGACATTCTTGCTTAATAATCCCAGTCAAATCATAAACTCAACTTACCCCCAGAAAGTATTATCAATTTATTTTTTTTATAGGTCATACTATCAATGTAATCTTTGAGATCTCATATAATCATATTGTCTTCTTGATCGTTTGACTTCACGATTAGGTTGAATCAAGGGAACAGATTTGTATATTCCTTATCCCAAAGTTAATTGCCAGAAAGAAAGCTCAATGATGCGGCAAAGAAGAGACAGCCTTATGATCTTATATTTGCAGTTTACCAGTGGGCTAACTATGTGTCAGGACGGAAACTGGGCCTCTGGATAACTACGAGCTGGAACAAGAATTAGATTATGGAAAATAAAATCATTAACTTATGACCAGTTCAAGATTAAACCAAGAAAAAATTCATTCATAAACAGTTAATCTCTGATTACTTACAAAATCTTCCTAACAATAGAACATAGATAGCAGATTTCTCTCAACCTTCAGAGAAAAGAGCAAACTAAAAGTACTTATGTTCATTGTATAAGATTTTTTTCCCCCTTTTCTCTTTCCGTAAGCAGTGGTGCCATTGCTTATAGCCTGTGCCGTCCTCATGATTGCATGACTCCCTACTATTACTCTATGATGATTTACTTTCGGCCAAATATATAGACGGACCCTTAAAATTGGTTCCAAATTCCATTTTAACACCTTAACTTAGTCTGTTTCCTATTAAACACTTAATCTTAACATAAACTGTGCCTATTAGACAAAAATGCTGATGTGGCAAAGTGAGTATATCACACTTCTTTTTGAGAGCGTGGATACAAAATATTGAGAGTCAATTGAAGATTAGGCTATAATTTTTCTTCCATCTCCTTTATCTGGCTTCTCTGCAGATATCACCCCACCACGCCACCTCCATAGCCACTGTCTTCATCACCACCTCATTCCCACCTCCACCGTTTTGGCCAATTCCTCCACATGTACTTTTACAGCATAAGCACCTCCATCTCCCACCGAACTATCACTGTGAAAATCACTTTGAACTCCACCATCTCTCCACCATTAGAAACAAAACTTCACATCATAATTTCAAAACTCCACAGGTTCTTCAAACAATTCCCGACCAGATACACCCAAATTCGCAATTTCAAGCTGGTAATTTATAAATTTCTCATTAAAGAAGAAATCAAAACACCAACATAATAATACCCAGATGAAATTGAAAAGGAAAAATAAAAATAACAGAGGATAAAGAATTGAAATAGAGGATAAATTTCTTCAAGGGTTGGTGTCTTATTTTAGGACAAAAAAAGTTCTTGGGAAGTTCCACCGGAAAAGTAGCCAGTAAGACTCCATTAATGGAGTATGATCATGGATTTAAAACAAATGACAGTGATGGGCTTTTGCCGGAGGAACCAGAGGGGTCAACGGCACCGGTGTGGAACTTCACCTACTGTCATTCTCTTAGACAAATAATAGAAGAAAATGATTAAAAGAGAGAGTTTACTGGTGAGAGAGATTTGACAGAGAAAGGGGCAGAGTGATGATTGGGAGGGGTTCATTTAGAGAAGAAGACGATGGGAGAGGCAAGGTGGAGAAGGAAAAAAGTTTATATTTTCTTTTGGGTATATTGTTAATATATTATTTGGGTTAAATACAGGTGTTGTTATTTGATTTGTTTTTTTTTTGCCACGTCATCGCGCTTGACTTCACGCTATTACTTTTGTTTACCGGTGGTTAGACGATGGCCTAATAGGCACAGTTTATGTTGGGATTAAGTGTTTAATAGGAAATAGTTTAAGTTGAGGTGTCAAAATGAAAGTTGGAACTAACTTTAAGGGGCTCTCTATATATTTGGCCTTTACTTTCACAATTATGTCATTACGTTTTTGGTCGCTCAGTTGTTGTATTATTAAAAAATGCAATAATTGATGTTAGCAAAACTGCATTACAAAATAATTACAGCTTCCTGCAGCAAGTAGTATCATTTCTTGAACCATTACTGCTTTGATTTTGTGAACAAACAGGAACCAAATGCAAACACATACTAATAGCGGCACTAAAGTTAGAACAATTCCAATTTACAACGTCTGATTCGCAAACATATGTTTGATTGGTCATAATGTCGGCAAACATCATAAGAAAAACTAAGACATCACACAAACCTTCCAGAACTTGATGAAAAATCCCCACTCGGTCTCAGCAACAACCACAATAATCGCAATCAGCACCGCATAACAGCGAAAAATTCCATCAAATACCTAGTGCATTTTCCAAAATTATCACATTACATAAATATTCACACAATAAACAAATAAATTAGCACAAATACATGGCAGGAAGGGCTTACGTCATATCCATTCTTAAAGGATCTTACGGCAGAGTAAACATTAACAGCAATGCAGAGAATAGCGGCTAAAGCAGTAATAAAGCTGAATAATCTACAAGTCACTAGGAATGGGTCTGGTCCGGGTCGGACTCTAGTAGGTGAAATTGAACGACCATCGTTAACCCTCTGCGTCTGTGAACTCACTGTTCCTTCACCGTCTCTCTCCATTTTTTTCTTTTTTCAATTTCTCCAACTTCAAACTGCAAGTGTACGGCTGTGTATGTATATATATAAAGAATATAGGCGGATGATTTCAGGTGGGTTTTGAATCCTCTGCTTTCCAGGTTCTTCACCTCCTCGTCAGGATATTCGCTGGTGACTGACACGTGCCTGTCCTGCATAGATGGAAACTGCAGTGTGAGTTAGCCTTGAGCGAATTGTTCATGTTTTTTGTTTGTGTTTTATTTTGTTTTGTTTTGAGAAAGAATTAGTACTTGTTTTATTTAATTGCTTTTTGTTCATTTAATCCATCCATATATTCTATACAATAGTTGTACCTATTAATTCCTAGAATGTATTTAGTAAGTTTTGGATGTATCTTGTTTACTATAAATAGGATATTCTTTGCCCATGGAAGAATACACTTGAATAAGATAACTTATATATTCTCTTCGTATACATCTTGTCCCTATTACTATATTGTTCTATTTTGCTCTTATTTTTTAATACGTTATCAGCACGAGGTTCTAACCTATTTAGGTTATCTGCTTCATCCAAATTTTATCTTCTTCCAAAGAGAGGTAGTTAATTTCTTTTCCAATTCAGGTATACATTCTTATGTTTATAACGTTTCTATTAGGATCTTCTTTAACCTGCAATTAAATTACCATATTCATAACTTATTTTGAATATACTTTGATTTGTGTACTCACTACTTGTTCTTTAAAAAGAAACGAAAAGTTGGGCATATATATGAAGAAAATTAATATGAAAGATATTATATAAGGTAAAATTTTAATAGAATTTATGGTCCTAAATATTAGGAGTTTTTATTTTACTCAAATAAGGAAAGATTTAATAATCACAATTTTAGGTAATCTCGAATTCCTAAATATTAGGAAAATAATTTAAATTATAATTTTGTCCAATGTAAAATCTATTTTAAGGGGTAAAAAAACGAATGACATTTCTCTAAAGGCCTTCATGCTTTTAATATAATATAGATGATTATAATAATTGCCTTGGTATGAAAACAATAAGTTTCGGTTAAATTGTTATTTCATTATATAAACTACGAAGAAGTTTAAACCTACAAATAAATAGATAAGAATTAAATTGAATTACAATAATTAGACTAATTAAGCCCACATCCAAATAGTCTGACATAATAGATATTTAGAAAGAATTCTTGCAAAATTTTCAAAAGGTTTAAATGTGTCTTCAATGAATTTATCACCTAAGTGTACAAACTAATTAATGATTTAATTATTAGATGAAACGTATTCAATGTTGAAACTTGGTAGAATTGATATCATCTAATTTTATGTCTACTTAACTTATTGAAACGTCTTATAAGTAGAACAAAATATACTACTACCTATTAATGAGATTACTTCAACTTATTTATTCTTTGAAAATATACTTACATGTCTAAAGTTCTTGTGTGTAATATTAAGCACTAATTTATCATTACACTATACATAATTATTTGTTCTAACAATTATATATAGAGAATATTATTACATTGTGCATTGAATTTTTTTTATTGATAATAATTTTTATCATTCTAATTCACTTATTTTCTATGATAGTTTTCACTATGTCGAATTTGTCAAAGCTGGAATTTGTGACACTTGACATCTCTGGGAATAACTATTTACCATGAGTACTTAATGCTGAAATTCACCTTGACGCTAAAGGTCTTGGTGACACTATTAAAGAAGAAAATGAAGCATCAAGTCAAGATAAGGCGAAAGCCATGATTTTCCTTCGTCATCATCTCGATAAAGGGTTAAAAAGTGAATATTTAACCTTGAAAGATCCATTTCAATTATGGACTAGTTTGAAGGAACAATATGACCACCTAAAGGTCACGGTATTGCCAAGAGCTCGGCGTGAGTGGATGCACTTACGGCTACAAGATTATAAGATATTAAGTGAATATAATTATGATGTATATAGAATAATATTCCAACTAAAATTGTGTGGGGGACCTATGAATGATGAGGACATGTTGGAAAAGACCATTTCCACCTTTCATACCTCAAATGTGTTTTTACAGCAGCAATACTGTGAAAAGGGCTTTAAGAATATTCTGAATTAATTTCATGCATTTTGGTAGCTGAACAACATAATGTCCTTTTAATGAAAAATCATGAAGTCCGCCCCACTGGATCAGATCCATTTCCAGAAGCGAATATGGTAGCGATAGATCCAAAGTCTGAAAGAACACAAAATAATTATCGTGGTCGTATAAATATACATGGTCGTGGCAAAGAGAGAAATAATAATCGACATGGTGGTGATCGTTATAAACAAGAGAACAATAAGGATTCTCAGAATAATCCTTCAAAAGGCAAAGGTAATATTTGTATAATGACTCGACCAATCATTTTGAGAATTAAAGTTTCGTTCGGTGGCATAAGGTCTCGAGAAGCTTTGTATAATGTGTTATGACTTGCGTGTATGGTCGAGTTCAGTTTTCGGATGATTTGGGGTCAATTTGGAAGAAGGATTCTTGTTTTAGAAGCTTAAGTGGTAAGAGTTGATCGGAATTTGACTTTTATATAAACAACTCCGGAATGTAGTTTTGACAGTTCCAATAGCTTCATATGGAGATTTTGGACATAGGCGTGCATCCGGATTTGGATTTGGAGGCCCGTAGGGTAATTTGATGCATTTTGGCGAGAGTTGGAAAAGTTGAAGTTTTGAAAGGTTTAGAGGTTTGGCCAAGAGTTTACCTTGATGATATCGGAGTCGGAATATGATTCCGAGAGTTGTATTAGCTCTGTTATGTCATTTGGAACTAGCATGCAAAATTTGGCGTCATTTCGGGTTGATTTAATATGTTTCAGCGCGAGTTTTAGAAGTTAGAAGATTTGAAAATTTCTAAGTTAGATTCGTGGTGCGATTTGTAGTTTCGACGTTGTTTGATGTGATTTGAGACCTTGAGCAGATACATGTTATGTTATAGGACTTGTTGGTATATTCGGATGGGGTCCCGAGGGGTTTGGGTGAGTTTCAAACGAGCTTCAGATCAATTCTAACATTTTTGGGTGAGGCTGGTTGGGCTGAGTTCTGGTGTGGTCACACCTGTGGGCCACTGGGCGTAGGTGCGATAGTCGCAAGTGCGTTGATGGAGGCGCAGAAACGAGAAAAGGTTGGGCTTGGGAGGCTTCGCAGGTGCGGGATATAGGCACGCTCCAGCGGCTTCGCAGAAGTGATATATTGGTCGCATAAGCGACTTGATGCGCAGAAGCGACTTGGGGTGTCGCACATGCGGTTGCGCTGAAGCGGAAGAAAGTCCGCAGGTGTGAGGGGTTGGCTATTGAGTGGAATCCATAGATGCAGAAATTTGCTCGCAAATGCGAGTGCACAGGTGCGCAAATCCTGTCCGCAAAAGCGGAAGGCGCTGGGCAGAACATATATTTCGAAGGGGTTTGAGGTTTTATTCATTTTTGGAGTTGTAGACCTCGGTTTTGGGAGATTTTTCGTGGGCTGTTCAAGCAACTCCTTGGGGTAAGTGTTCTCTACCCGAATCTTGTTATATTTTATGAATCCATTGCTATTTTCATCATTTAATTAGAGAATTAAGTTGGAAATTTGGGAAAAATTTGCAAAATCTTTCAAAATGTAAAATGATAATTTGAAGGACGAATTGAGGTCGAAAATTGATAATTTTGGTAGGGTTGAACTCGATATCGAATGGGTGTTCGGTTTTTGTAATTTTGGTCAGGTTCAGAGACTCGGGCCTGGATCGACTTTTTGGGGCGATTTTTCAATTCTTAGCTAAGATCATTATTTCATTATTTAAATTAGTTTCCTATAGTTATATTTATAGTATGAAATTATTTTGGTTAGATTCGAGCCGTTCGGAGTTGGAAATTGAGGGATAAAGCCTTCTAATTGATTGATTGAGCGTGGTTTGAGGTAAGTATCTTGCCTAACTTTGTTTGGGGGGGGGAGGGGCGAACTTGTAATGACTCGGCCGGTCATTTTGAGTATTATAAACCTATTTCCCCATTTACTGCTCAATTTATGCTTTACAGTCGTTTTATGACTTATCAGGTTAGTTGGTTCGGGTCCGGAAGGATTTCAGAGTGAATTGAGATACTTAGTCTAATAATTGAAAATTTAAGTTGGAAAGAGTTGATCGGAGTTTGACTTTTGAGTAAACGACCCCGTAATAGAGCTTTGATGATCCCAACAGCTCCGTATGGTAATTTTGGATTTAGGAGCGTGTCCGAAATTTTATTTGGAAGTCCGTAGTTAAATTAGGCTTGAAATGGCTAAAAGGGGAATTTAAGTTTGGAAGTTTGACCGGATCGGAGTCAGAATTCAGTTCTGAAAAGTTTCATAGACCGTTATGTCATTTATGACTTGTGTGCAAAATTTGAGGTCAAATGGAATTGATTTGATAGGTTTCGGCATCGAATATAAAAGTTGGAAATTCTTAAGTTCCTTAAGCTTGAATTGGGGTATGATTCGTGGTTTTAGCGTTGTTTTATGTGATTTGAGGTTTCAACTAAGTCTGTATGATGTTTTAGGACTTGCTGGTGTATTTGGTTGAGGTCCCGAGGGCCTCAAGTGAGTTTTGGATGGTTAACGGATCAAAATTTGGACTTAAACAACTGCTGCAATTTTTCTGTAGGAAATTTCTGCTGGAAAATCGAGGCTAGAAAAAAATCGAGGCTGGAAATTGAAGGCTAGAAATTGAGGGCAGCGCCTGGACAGAAACTTTAAGTTATAAAATGGGGGTTTCGTACATTTTCCATTTTTGACAAATTGGAGATTGGGGAGAGGCGAGTTTTGGGAGATTTTCAAGTAAAAACATCGGGGTAAGTGATTCTAACTCAAATTTGGTCAATATACACGAATATATCATTGTTTTCATCGTTTAATTAGTGTTCTGAGATGGAAATTTGGGGGAAGTGAGGAAGAGTTCTTGGACTAGAATTTTGAGGTTTTGAATGGGATTTTATTGTCGTATTTGAGTAAATTTGGTATGGTTAGACTCATGAGTGAATGAGCTTTCGGGTTTTGTGACTTTTGTCGGATTTCGAGACATGGGCCTGGGGCAGCGGGTTTGAGCCGATTTCGGATTTTTGGCTATAATTTTGTATTTTCTTGTGGAATTGATTCCTTTAGCCTATATTGATTGTACTGTACTGCTTGTGGCTAGATTCGGGACGTTTGGAGACTAATTCAC